TTTAGCTCTTATGTAGTTGAGAACAGAGGGAATACACCTTTATTTGTAATGTTGTTTGGTGGTGTTTGGTGTTACGGTAGATTTCAATCATCTATGCATTTTTATCGCTCGCGGTGACAGGTTGGTATATCATCGTTTACTAGTTGTCTAATTTGTCTTTATAATAACTGATTGCTCATGGATGATAATTTTAAATAGTGAATGACTGACTGATAGCTAAAATATAATGTTTTAATTATTGTACTTTATGCACTTGTGTTCATCACATAACGTATCATGTTCTTACAGTTATACCCGCAACTTTTGACAGTAGTTTGGTTTTTTACGCAAAGCAAGAAAGTTGACCAGGTACAGTGCTACGAGTTATGAGGCTGCTGCTGATTATTACAGATTTTACATTTTTTTTTAGCATATTTGATTTTATTAGATCACACGCTTTCTATGAATTTATTAACTCTTTTCTTCCCAAATTTTGGCTCACTTTTTGCGATGGTATGCAATGGTAAACTTAAGGCTGGTGAAAAATCAGAAAAAAATCTATACTGAGTGCAAATCCGTTTGAAAGCGTAAAGATTGAATTTAGAATCAGCGAATGAACCACTATTTGCATGACACTTTTACTGTTATCTGAATCAAAATAATAATTTTCTATTCCCTTATAAAGACCAATTTAAGACAGCCCAAAGAATACATTTTTCAAATTGACCAAATGATCCATACAATACAGCTATTCTATGGATGTTTTAGCTTTTATAAACAAAAGTAAATTTGATGTTTACAGCTAGAAAACAAATGAGATAATCTCTCTTCAAATCGCTTATTCACTTTCACGAAACGATTTTTTCCCATGCCAGATCTAGTGCAGATTTTGCTAAAATTTTGAACTTTTTTCTCGCTAAAGATTTTCCCATTTTCGCCAAAATTAGGCCAGCTGAAACTGGAATTCAGAAGCCAACTCTGGTTCAAACTTAGGAGAACAATATTAAGTTTGTTATTACGTTTCCTCATTCGGTATTTCTATGATCATAATGTCGAACTATTTTTGAAATCGAGCTCACGTAAAATCTGTCAAGCCCGAGGTGTCAAACATTATGACAAACGGGAACTTGAATATTTATCTAAGTGTGAAATCCCTAGTCTGGGATCACATGGAAAACCCCACATTCAAAAATAAAGCCACTTTATTTTCCACACATTAATTTCATCAATGAAATCAAAATTTCATCTTAATATTTCTATTCTTATTATGTTTCCTTCAAAAATATTATGCTGAAATCCAGCTACTGCATCATGGCTTCTTCCCGAAATACTTCCTTGAAGATGTGTTACAAGTAAGGAATCAAATATATCTCCAGATGATAAAATGACAAGCGATCAACGAGCCGAAAGATAACGCTTTGTCAGAAATGGAAAGCAATAATGATATATTTCATGAAAAACAGCTCCTTCAACACAGCTCGTTCGGGCTGGTAAAAGGAAACGACCAAATTGTTGGCAAGCTGCTTCACGAAGTAAAGCCGAGGATGATACACATGTGTTAAAGTTATGTCTTTTCCCGATTCCGATCAAGCTATGTCCTCAACTATGTATATTGCAACAAAACAGGCAAGCAATATATCATTATCCTTCTACCACTCCGATCGAGCTGTGTTGCAGAGAGAGTTTGTCGTGGTAGTCGTAGCAAGCGTTTTATCTGTATTTTAATTTATTTCTAAACGTATATAAGACTTAAATTTTGAAAAATTGTACATCACGAGAATTTTAATAGAATTATAAATTGTGTAAATACCTGTAAGCTCAACAATTTGATGAAGTCTGGATAAAAAGTTAGGTCCGTTTCCAGTCTTCCGAAATGGAATTAAAACAGTTTCCATGATATGGATTTTAAAAATTATTATAAAATATTTTGTTAAGCTGGACATCCTGAAAATTCGCTTTAATTAGTGATCTTAATAAATAAGTTCAATTCCTGTTGTTTCCTCCGGGATTTGGATTTGTTCAATGTTTGAATTCTAAATTGTTTTATTTCTATTTTTATTTATTTATATCTATTACTCTGTGAATGAGTCAAATTTCCCTCGACTTTTCAGGAAAGACTTCTTGAATATGGGGAAAATCGAAAGATATTTCACTCAGTTTATCAGTAACTCCTAGACTGAGTAACATTTTTGTCGATTTTCCTCATATTAGAGCAGTTTTTCCAGGAAAAGCGAGGACAATTTTGCTCATTCATTGAGTAATCCACTTTTTGCAATGTTCGAATTTGACTCAGTTACTGAGTTATTCTCATTGGTCGTGGCGTTGTTCAGATATAAGGCCTATTGGATGGTGAGCAGTTCAGTTTTGAATTCGCCTTCCAGGTGACATAAGTGTGCAATTCGACATCTTATTGCTTGCTTTAAATTGACAGCACGACTAGATATAAATTTACTATCTTGAGTAAAGCTGTTCTGAATGACAAGCCCTATCGTATGGTGGGCATCTCAGTTAAAAATACACATAATTCAAATGGATTGCTAAATTCGACATCTCGACAACATAGAAGGTTGCTGCTTTCAGTAAACTTGTTCAAATGAACAATATGCCCACTGGTCACCATAGCCGGTCGAACTCCAGACGAAACTAGAACCGCACTACCATTCATACTGGCGACAACGCTCTGATGAGACAACGAAACCTTACCCCCAAACTCCTCCCCTGATCCTATCCTTCGACAATGTACCTCTCTAACCTCGAGTAAGCCGCGAGTATTCGGCCCAACTCCTACTAGACATAGAATTAAGTGAATTTTGTTACAAACAAAGAACAATGAACTATCGGCTCCGTAAAGCTAACGCGATTGAGCCTCCCAAATAAACGAACTAGTTAAAAAAAAAAAAAAAATGAACACCTATTGAACAGAAACGCGCAATGAAAATTTCTGTCGAAACAGCAGCACGGTTTTTGAGGGATCTTTTGGCAATGTCATATCCCGTGTCCTTAGTTTAGTGCATGTCGTATTACTCCATCACTATTAAGAAATGATGAAGTATTCGGTTTTGATACAGTTTGAGGAATCGATTCTAATTGAAAGTCCCGCTATTTATACCCTTCGGAGTGTTGGAACACCCTCTAAAGGGCGCGCCCCTTTGTCAGTCAAAATTGGATTCCTTAGCAACAAAAATAGCAATGACCGATAATGACCATGCATCAGAACCCTAGTCTTAACCACTTCAAACTATGGAACAACGAATAGAAGATTAGGAATCACATGGATGAAGACTAACTAACTCATTTTTTCCTTGTTTTGAGATCATCCTCTGTGGACAAAGCCGAGTCTTATCACTATCAAAAAGGCATAACAAGTAACAAGAACTAAGATGTGTTCCTTTGATTACTGAAAAATCCTGTTTCCCTAGTTTGAAGTAGTCAAGGCTAGAATCGGTGGTAGATCTTACATCCCGTAACGTACCTCGAAAAGGTGATCTACCCACGTTACAGGGTGATCATACCCAAGTTTACTCCTAATAGCTACGTTATATTTACATATTTTAACCAAATGCATGTTTTGGCACAATGTCACCCGCCATAGGGTTTTACATTGGTCTATTTTCTATCATTGAGATATCAATTTTAATCAAATATTTTCATGACAGTTGTAAATAAATCATTGTTGAATATATTCACATGCCTAATATATTTTTCCTTGGTAAAATCTGAATGTTGTAAGGTAGAGAATGACAAATTTTGATTTTTTGGTCCAATGTCTCTACCACTTACGGTACCATAATTTTTGCAAATATAAATACAGCTTTATACCTTGTTCGAAGTGGCTACCGGAAATTAACCGGGAATCGAAGCCATCCGGGAAAAAACTGAAAAATTACAGGGAATTTGGTTGCAATCTCAAAATATGTGTGTATTTTAACCAGCATTCAAGAGATTTCAATATGGCTTCAGGCATGGATTTCCGGTCTCCATTGAATATTCCTAAGAATTTCCTTGCAGTTCATCTCGGAATTGTCTTTGAAGTCTTAATAGAACTAGGAATTCTCTGGATTTTTTCAGGGAATTCCCTTGAAATTCAGCTTAACATTTTCAAATCATCCTTCCGAAATACCCTTTAAATTCCGTTAAATTCTTCTAAAAATTTGTTAATGGTTCTCTTTACAATTTCTTTGCATTTCTCTTCTGAATTCTTTAAAAACAACGAATTTTCCTACAACTGCTGTTAAGTCAGACTGCATTACTTATGGTCCAATTTAAAGATTTTCTAAAAGTTTTATCATGCTCTTGTAGATCATGATTTAGGCTTGAAGAATGTTTTAAAACCTCGATGGAACTTGTGATGCTACTTGGGGTTTTTTACCATATTTGTTTCTAAAAAACCGGGAAAACTAGGTAAGGCAACCGGCAAAAAACCCGGAATTCACCCTGTTTGTGTAAACGTGGATAGATCAGTTTGTTTGTGAGTTTAAAATGTAACACCATGAAAGAGAAGGTCCATTAAATATGTCACGCAAATTTGGCCCATTCTGAACCTCCTCCCTCCTTTGTCACATTTTTTGTATGGACCTTATTTTTTATTGTATAACTCGTCACAGTTAACAATACTCCCAAACCACCCCCCCCCCCTTCCCCTAGAAGTGTGACATAATTAATGGACGATCGTAAACATTCAAATTAATTTTTAAATAATTGAATTATAGCGTTCACTATTTGATAGATTTTTATTTGAATACAGATAAAAGACAACATCAAAAGAGATTTAATTGATCAACATCAAAATGTAATATGGTTTCAGATCCTTATATTGAATGATATAGCAACTAAACTTTGAATTTTAAATATTTAATTCTCAATTGAATGTCTAATTATTTAACAACGTTGAATATTGCATTGAATGTTTGATGAATTACTTTAATACATTAATAGTTTAGTAATTATTATTGAATGGAGGAAGAAAAATAATATCGTAGTCCTACAGTTCTTTTTTTTGTGCCAGTTATGATTAATGCCCAATATAATCATATTTCGAATTAGGTTTCAGTCATGAGACTAGATAATGGATCACAAGAGCAGCTGCTTAAAACGTGAATAAGACTGTTGATAGCTGAAAAAACTAAAAAAAAATCAACCAATATTTAAATGATTTGCATGCAGATGAGCTAACGTTATGTGAGGAAGTGATTTGGAATCGATTCCAAGGGGTGGAGCAAAATGGATTATCTAAAAAAACATGTTGACGCTACAGCAAACTTGTGCGACTTACTTTGCAGGAAGTCTTTTCTATACAACCAAAGAGTCAAGTGTAACCATGCTCGCCAGAAATAGCCGACCCACCATTAATTTATTCAAAACATGAAATATATGCCTACGTTTTTCTCTTGAAAGAACAGAACACTGTTGAAGCCCATGTTGCCACATGAGCATACTGCAACGCTATAACCCCTTATGCTCAAGTGTATTCATCTTCGCACAAAAGGCATAACGATGTGTTATTGTTTCCAAACAAATCCTTGTCATCGTTTGCTGCTGGCGTTCTATATGAAGATTTCTCTAAAGTGTACCGTACCGGATGGCAGTGTTTGTGGGTTGAAGCATGACGCATGAGCACAACCACGGGACCACCGCCATGCGCGTTAGCAAGGCCACTGCCTTGTGGTGTCCCGGTAGCAGCAGCATAAGACCTCACATTTCGTAGCACTGTATCTCTGCTGGGCAGAACGCGAGCGGACATAGCTGGAGTGAATAAGCATATTTCTTCTCTTTTTCCCCGTTTGAGCCAGCTGTTTGTTACTCCGAAGAGGCTTATATTTTCCGAATGTTTTTATTTACGCTCTTGTTGATAAACAGTTCAATGTAATATAACGAACGATGTTTGCGTACGGTCGATCCGAGAAACATGCAGACGAAGAAAGAAAACGCAAATCTATCTTCGGTGTCTACTTTGTGCGTCGGTTTTAAGGTTAACTCTATGCGTTTTCTTATATAATAATTACAGAAAAGCTTACCGCACTCATACGGCAGACACATTGCACATTGAAATCGAAAGTTCAGGCGGTGAAATTAACATTTTCCCATCGTTTCTCTCCATCTTCTTCTCCGGTTTTCTTCTGTAGACTTTTTGGCCAGCGCCATCTTCGCCCCGAATCAGCCCACAGTGTGTAAATGCGTATCGATTCGTGAAGCAGACAGTGCAGCAGTAGCAGCGTGAAGCAGAAACGAAGTTCCCAACTAGCTTGGTTTGGACCGATACGGCGCTGGACAGAGTAGTACCAAGCAGCGGCATCATCGTTTTCGACTTGCCCTCCCCTTGTTCCGGAAGCAAACAAACAAAGCTGGAGCGTTAAATTACTGCAGTAGAAACACGCCAAGTTTTCAGCGTTGAACGTTGTGTCGCTTGCAAACACCATCGTTACATGCGTCCAGCCCTGTACGGACGGGCGCAGCATAGAATAGCATAAAAGAAAACGGAACACGTTGCCGCACACATTTTCCTCGTCTCTCGTGGTTTCCCACATTTTCCCTTTTGCGTCGTTATTCAATCTATCACGTGTTTGCTTCGAGTTTTCTTCTATTGTGAATGTACAAATTTGTAGCGTCCATGAACACTACTCTGCTGTGACGCCGCCGAGCTCTACAGTTATCGTTGTGTAGTGAAGTATCCGTATGAATGTAGGTAATGCAGGCCTCGAGAAATATAGGTTTACCTCATGAATGAATTAAACAACTGTATGCCGCTAAAGCGCAATAATCAAACCGTGTTGTGAACCGAGTCGCGCAAATGTGTGTGATCTATTCTTAAGGCCTTTTCAATCAGGCAAAGTGTTACGTGAAAACAGAACAGACCATTTTCAATATGCAATAAAAGCTGACGGTACCGTTGATTGCGAAGAAAGAAACATCTTCGACGAACATAAGCCCTTGTGCCAGCCCGGTGTAAAATAAACACAGAAAGAAAAATCAAAGGAGCTTGGAAAATAAACAATACAAAGAGAGAAAATATTCAGATCGTTCCAACCGTCGCCATTCATTTTCCTCGCTTGGGGGGAAAAACTGCAACGAAGAAAAGATTCGGTATTGCTATTTGAATAAAAATCAGTGCCGCAGCGAGGTAAAACAAAGACGAACTGCACACCGTGTGCTATAGCTGTGTGTAGCAACGATACTTTTTAGAGTGAGCAAAACAAAACGAAAGGGATATAGACGGGAGAAATAGCGGTACATTCAACGATGAATCCAGGCCATTCAGGAACGACGAGGCGACCCTACTCACGCGGAGCCGCCCCAAGGAATCGCTCTCGTATGCCGTTCTCGCCTCACCATTCACATCATTCCAATCGCAACCATGGCGGCCACAGCCAGTCCTGGTACAACAAGGACATGGAGAATAGCTTCAACTATGGGTAAGTGTTTTGGAATCAAAAGCATGACCGCGCCTGGAGAGCTTCCCATCGCTCTCTTCGCCATGGTGTCGTAGACTTAAAGTAGATTAATATGGAGAGGAATGAAGAGATTCGTACTAAATGAGGGAAGAAATCATACCTTTCCAGGCGGTCGTTGATTGACATGTTTGTTTTTTTTTTTTGGGGAAGACTGTCCAATGCTGCATGATAAAAAAATGCTTGAAAACATTACAGGAATCTTCCGCAGTTCTAATAGTTTATTTCAGTATGGTACACCGGGGCAAGTGGGGCCTAACAATTTGATAGTTCAGCTTTCTGCGATTGTGTAATCTACAATAATCTATATTTTTTAATTTACAATGCACAGTAATTATCTACTAACATCGCTGCACAAGTTTACGTACATTGAAAGCTAATTATTAACTTTAAAATAATCTTGAAAAATGTTAACTTTACAAAAATGCGCAATAGGTCTCACGTTTCTCGTACACCGGGGAAAATGGGACCTATTTTGGATTTGTTAAAACATACCAAAAATATAAATAAAAAACTGTCGCATATAACAAATAAAAATTGACTTTCAGTCGCTAACCTAAATCGAAAAAAAAAGTCATATAAATAAATAGTAGTAGATCAACAATATATACATACAAATAATATGCTCCAAAAAACTCAATCGATTCAAATCAGGTCTTGATAATCCTCCTAAAATTTGAGGCCATTTGGATGAGAACTCATACTGCACTGGTCCTTTGAAGTTTATTTGGGAATTACTACTTATTGTCATAGACACCATAATGATTTACGGAACAGTTTGCTATTTGTACTGCCTATAATCGCATGTCAGTTCCATATGGGTTTTCGTCAATTTTAAGATAATAACGCTATTCACAATAAATTGGCATCTACTTTCATATTATATACGTGATCAAACTACGGACTTTGATCATGAAAAGCGTGAAAACAACAGCAAGTCAGTTTGTCCCATCAAGTAATGTAATCGCATATCAATCTCTTCCTGAAATTGGGATTTAAATTGATGGGCAGATCAAGCTGAAGTATTTAAAAAAATAACCTGAGGAGTTTTTGGAGATCTGTGAACATCTGAAGACCGTTTTAATAATTTCTGAGCAACTTGGCATATGAGAGAATATCTGGAAGATGTGACTTGAAATGGTGAGCCGTTCCAATTTTTCAGAACGATACCTGATCAAACTGAAGTCTAAAACAAATATATTGTGGGTTTTTTTTTAGATCTATGATCATATTTTTAATAATTTCTGAGCAACCTACTATTTGAGAGAATATCTAAGATATGTAATATGAAATCTTGGGCAAATGCAGATCTTCAGACTGACTGAGCTGAAGTCTTGAACAAATATTTTGAGGAATTTTTGGAGATCTTTGGAATAATTTCTGAACAATTTGGTATTTGAGAGAATCACTGGGAGATGTGATTTTAAATGTTGGGCAGTCTAATTCAAATATCTTAAGATTCGGAGATCAATGATCATATGAAGTTTTTTTGAATAATTTGTTGGGCAGTTGAATGATGCCTGTTTTGCGATGCCTGGTCAAACTGGAGTATTGAACAAACTGAAATCACTCTGTATTCTGTAGATTTGAAGACATACTTCAAATCTCCGCATACATCGTACGGGTTAGGCAAAGGGTGTACGTTTGACTTTGTACTGTCGCATTAATGGCCCTTCGCTCATTTTCAACTTCTATTCAATTTGCATACTGCCGTACTCTAACGGAACTCTCCTAAAAACCATTCTCTAGCTAATAAATTATCACACTAAAGCTTCATGTTAGATAGCATTTCCAAACAACTCTGAAAATCGCAAACTTCGCGTATGAAGTAACACTTTGAATGTCATAAATATTGTTGATATCCCCATCATTTGAATGCAGTTTTTAGTTATATGTAACTTTAAACTAGTTAAACGCTGCTTTATTTGCAATTATTTGGGAAATAGTTTGTTTGGTGGTATCACATGATCATCATAAGTATACTACCCATAATAGCATATCAGCCCCATATGGATAGGAAACCAAGATGGGAAGTTTTTGAACAGAACAGACTACAAATGTACGCAATAAGTTCTAAAGAAGTGATAACTTTGATTTCTAAAACTTTGTTTTAATAGGTTGAACCTTGAACTGCTAAATTTTGTAGCTTTTTTCGTGTTTCTTCTAAATACTTGATCACCAGCTAAACAAACTCTTTCTCAAATAAATGTAATCAAAATGTTGCATAATGATGAGTTCATCATGTTTAGTTAAACTTGAATTCTGGCGATGGGGATAAAAATAAACATCATTTTATTGTATCCAATGTAAGTGTTAGCACTAAACTTTTAACCTTCAGGCGTGTTTGAATCTAGAAATTTATGATAAAATTAGTTCTATTCACCGTTCGGGTGTGCCTTGGGTGCCTGGACCCCTGCAGAATGATTCAGGCCCTCTCCATATGTTGTATGGTGATTCTAATACCGACAATTTAAATTTCATTAAACTTCAAACAGATCTAGAGGGAGCCTAGATCATTTGAGACGAGACCTGCCAGCCCAGGCACTTCCATTAGATATGCCAATGCAATTGCCCCGGTGTACCTTATCGTAAATATTGGTAGACAGACAAAATAGAAGTAAATACTTCATATTTATAGCATTTCCTAAAATTCCCATTAAACATTTCTAACAAATTTTATAAGCATTTTGTATTTTTCCTTCCCAAGTTTCAAAATATCCTCAAATTTATTTTATTTTAATTTTATTTTTTACGATCTAAAATGTTTAAAACTCAGGTATTGAGATCTACTATCCCCAATAATCTTGGCATTTCTAACAAACAACTTTCCTTAATCGTAATTAATGACGCATATGTAAGATGTAGCAATCTTACATTTATGCGTCATTGATTCCGGTTACGACAGCCATCTGCGCACTTTTCCTGTTCATGAAAGGTATGATTTCTTCCTCACAAAACGTATTTTGTATGTAAAAACCACATAAAACCAAATATTACCTTAGAAAAAAAAAACAACGTAAGGCTTAAACCAATTCTTGCCAAGCTCACTCCACCAGAGACGATTATCCAGTGATATCCTCCAAACCGCTCAAACTCTAAAGCCAGCTCTGATCCACACAGTGGTTTTGGTTCACGTTGTGTTAGTGTAATGCCATTGACTATGCTATGCATTAATATTGGAATACGGAATTATACGAAAAAAAAAACCCTATCAAAGCGCAACACCATTAATAATTTACAAATGCATCCTAGTAATTGTTTGGAAAATGGAATATTTCTCATCAGTGTTATTTTCTCTTGTGTAGTCTTGAATTCACCCATATTTGCAGCCAACATCCTCTTTCGAATAATACAAAGTGGACGAATGGTTCCAGCTTGTTTGTTAAAACCTTTCGCCGAAACATGCAACCTTATTTGTATCATATATATAGATTAAATGGTCCTTTTATTTCTCATTTCATACACTTCACACATCTTGGTTCCTAATTGAACACCTCTGTTTTGGATTAGAAATGTTCACCGAAGTTTCATTACATCTATACCTTCGTCAGATACTGTGTGTTTAATTTTTCATGATATGCAAAACGAACCCCTTAAATGCACAGACATTATAGTTTGGCTCTTTAAAAATGTCTGTTTTTATTTTGATACTAGTTTTGTTTTTACATTTAAAACTTTCACCCTGCTCTATGTTTTACTGTTTTCCTGCTTTATAAAACAAAATATTTCTCTTTTTAACTTTCAATTCTTTTATTTTCATCTAATTATCTACTTCTGTCTTTTTGTTCGTCTAGTTTAAATAGTTCCAGAATCCAATCGCTTTTAAGGATAATTCTATAAGTTTATCTAATTGATGCCTCTGCTCTATCTAGCATTGTGAAATGTTTGTGTGATAGCGGGTACGATTAGCAGGATCATATTTTGGCAGGCTAAGTTACACGTTCTGTCGCTTTTCACTCATCTTTCAACTTCAATAATACACAGTTCGGCCCTGATAATGCTTGAATAGAATCATCTGGTGTTTGTAGTACAAATATTGTCAAATTCATGTTGCCACACGTATGTACAGTATATGCAAAATCTAGTAGAAGATTTTGAGAAATGCAATGTTTCGTTCAGCCTGGCGTGATGTGTTTAGTCAACTATTTAATTTTTATCCCAGGAAATCAAGGGTCACAAATAAATATGTGATCGACACCACACATGAATAGTTTAAGTTGTCAGAGACATTTATAGTAGAGCACGATTGACTTTTTATAGTGCATTTTTAAGGACATAGAGGAAATGGATGAAATGTTGGTCTAAATGCCCCTAATTTGGGCCCATACATAAATTCAACAATCGACTAAATTTTCAATAGCGACCAAAATATCCATGAGTACCGTCCCAATGACGCGTTCATCTAGATAAAATTGATAAAGAGCCGATTTTTAGCGATGGGACCAATCTTAGATCCATAGGCTACCATTAGAACCATTTCCCCTACAAGGTGGAAATTTTTTGTGATAGTTGCCATGTATAGATAGATAACAAGAAATAGGTTTAGCATTGTTTCAATCTACTATTTTAGTTTACGAGTAAAACTAGGTAACACTAATCGAAGTATTTATATATAACAAATCAGTGCTAACATTTGAAAACGGCACAAAAGCCATTTGTAAACAAATGGTTTGTGGGCCCTTTACTCACTACTTGAAGTACACCCACGCGACACAACAGCAACATCGGGTAGGGGAAATTTTCCCCTTCCTGACGATGCTGTTGGTTTGCGTGGACGTTCTTCGGGTAGCGAGTAAAGGGCCCACAAACCATTTGTTTACAAATGGCTTTTGCGCCGTTTTCAAATGTTAGCACTGAAATCTTCGTTCATACTTGATGGGTTGTTTCTCTGTTCAACGTCAAATTTACTTCTCTTTTTCTGCGAGTCTTGTGGCCAGTGCGTAAAATTATTGACTGCTTAGGCT